TCACACACACAAACGCACTTCAACAATATTCACGCGCCTCGTTTTAAAGGTGGATTTTTGTTAGGAGCTAGCCCCATTTTCCACCCCACAAGTTTACCAAAAAATTATTACACAAAACCCAGTATCATCTTATTACTCCAAAGCGATACTATTCTCCATTTTGATATGTATAAAATATTATTATACATATATATAGAGAGAGAGACTTCCTTTCATGGAGTCCTGGAAGGGAACTACCTACCACGTGATGGGCTTGTATGGAGCAGGATTTAAAAATATCACCACAAAACTGTTAAGTTATGCAAATAAAGTATTAGCGCGATATATTTCTGTAGGGTTCAAAGAGGGATATTGGGCACTAGGTGTGAGTGAGTAATTAAAAACTATCAACAGAAGTGAGCTTACTTCCCCTCCTTTATAATTCTAACAAAATTTCAGGGAGGATGTTCTTTACAGGTAATGTATGTGCCCTACACGCCTAGAGTAAGTACCAGGAAAAGGTATTTACAAACCTGAAAACACAAGTTGAAAATCGTGTTGAGTTTCAGGAGTAGAAAAATGTGGTAACCAATGTTATTATATTGTGCATATACACAGTAAAACTTACTCAGTAAGGATACCTCATTTGCGCACAAATGTACTGTGCAACATATATGCTTGACACAGTATTTTAGCAGCCAAGAATCTATGCTTTATGGCAACACATTTTAAATTTTATGTATCCGGATGTTTTCTATTCATATTTTTCTTTATTGAAAATTTACAGAGTGATACTTTTTAATTTTTACTATTTTTATTACAAATAACGCAAGTGCTTGCATTTGCATTATATATTTTAGGATTTTTTCATTTTTTTTTTTTAGATCATTCACGTATTAAATTTTAGAGTTATATACTTAAGTTTCTTTAGCGTTTTAGGTGAAAGATGGAAGATAAAAAGGATGAAGCGAGGATTCAACAGGAGGAAAGTGACGCAATACTTGCACGTCACCTTCAAGAGGAATTTGATAAGTTGAACGAGGCGAATGCTATGCATAACGTGGAAAGTAACAATACAGCACAGTGCAGCGAATCACCACAAAAATCTTTGAGTAACGAAGTTTTAACGGTACCATGCCCAGAGTGCACATTTAATAATAATATATCGAATCCAGTTTCTGGTAAACATTATGCGTGTGAGCAATGCTATACTCAGCTTCTTGTTCCAAATTCTTCCTCGAAAGAGCAAGAGCCTCCCCAGATAATCGAATGTTCTGTCTGTCATGTAAAAAATATCATACCATCAAAGAAGGTCGATGCACTTCTTTGTGGCGCTTGCTATCAACAACTTGCTGATCCAACTACCGCAATTAGTGAAGATTCTACAAAAGAAAAACGATCAGTTCAAATCAGATGTGGTCAATGCAGTGCTATAAATTTAGTTCAAGTGGCTTCGAATGCGAATGTTATCCAGTTTGAATGTGGTGGTTGTCAATCAATTAATGAAGTTTCACTATCCTGAAGTATCAGAGATCATATTATACTTCACAATTTGAATATATTAGTGTACATTGTTTTGAACCAAGCATTTATATCGGTTACATTTTTTTCGTATCCTCCCTCAGCGATCCTTGAGGGAAATCATAATAATATATCCAAAATTAAAGGGAATTTTTATTTTAATACATTCCCTTAGTCTGATTAAGTTAAGATTGTCATTAGTGATAGTTATTTTACCAGGATTTTGAATATATTTTGCACTATGGTTTTGAACATCGAAAAGGTAAATAGAAAGACCCCTATTATCTTCCTTTTTTTTCCACGATTGAATACTACTTGCGCTATTATTTAATCATTTATGTTATTAAACTCGCAAATTAGCTATCTCGTTAAATGGATAGAATATTTGTTAAGTTTGCTTTGTATTGTTTTTACCTTTATCTATATTTTTCCTATACGCTCACATTTCGTTTACTATTGACTTTTTTCACATGTTTCATCTTGTATATAAAGAAGCTTGATCACAATAGCTAGCCACTAGTAATAGATTAACTTAATCTTTAAATATTTTACTATTGGGAGCTTCTGTTTAGGTAGCTATGCCTCGCCCAGTGACACGCTACAACATTGGCCCTTTTCCAATACCAAAGCGTACAAATGTGGGAAGTCAATATCTTCAAACACAAAAGCATTATGCTCGCCGGGTGTGGTACCGAAGGCAATACTTTTCCTCAATGCCTTTCGCTATTTCAAAGCACATGGGTAGTACCCCTCGCATACTTCTAGATCGAACATTATGGAAATCTTTATGGTTTACCAAGGCCAATATTCCAGATATGAATCGCTGGGAACGTGTAGTAAATAGTCAACGTGTAACAGAGGATCGTTGGGCTCTCGTAGAGGAAGGAGGCATTATGTACCAAGTGAACTGGAAGTTGTATTGTGAGCGACTTGAAACAGAACTGCAGAATGCACAGGATCAACTTCCTCAGTATCGTTTTGCCATGCGTGCGGTACCATCCGCGTGGAAAAAGCTGGATATTGACATCAGCGTTCTTCGTGGGCTTTCCGTGAGAGAAGCTATGGCTCAGTGCAAGCTTTCAGTACGAAAGGGGCATATGGCTGTGTTTCGCGCCTTAGAGCTTGCACAGCAGGGAGCTGAATCTAAAGGATTAGTTAAAGAGCGACTTCGTATTGCAAGCATAACATGCGTACCTGGCCCAACCGATAAGCAAATGGATATTCGTAGTCGTGGGTACTACTCATGGAAAACCAAGAAGTCATCTCACTTGTTTTTAACGATTACCGAAGATCCTGAAATGGTTTTGCCAGATCGCTCAGCAATTCCATATGCATCTTTGATGTCAATGAAGCGGGCAGGGATGATGGAGGAGCCCACCGTTCTGGATGTACCCGCGATTACGGCTGAGGGCATTTAGTAGGTATTTTGACCTAAACGAATTTGGATGGGACCGGTTTGATGTCCACAAGAGGGTGTTTGATTATAAGAATGTTACAATTTTTTATATTCTTTTTTTTTCAAACTATCCATCTCAACATGTGCATTTGTTAATAGTGTTATTTATTATTATTCTTTAAGGAATTTTATCTCCTAAATTTTTGTATGTGCTGATTAATGGAGATCTACATAATCTCACAATATAACGTATCGAAGGGAATTTACGAGAGCAATGATAATTCTACGTATTCTGGATAAAGTTCTATTCTTATGTTCCTTACTATAGGCATCATACCAAAATCAAACTTGTGAAGGGAAGAGATTGCCTGCACTTTAGGTTTCCTTCATAGTAAGAGGGACAAACTCTGACACAACGATAGGAAAGGCAACTTTTCTGGAGCCGTTATCTTTATTAATGGGGGAATAGGTATGATATAATCAGTAGATCCATTTTTCTTTAGAACTGTGTTGGTCAAATTAAGAAAATAATATTGTAATATCTTTCTGCAGTATTTTATCGCACTTTTTTCCCCTGTATAAATTTTCAATTTTAATTAATTAACAAACTATGGACAAGAGTTTTTTTTTGTCTGTATAAACTCAGATAGGTTAGAACAAATGTCAAAAAGGATAATTTTTACTATTTATAGCTTTAGGTTTTACACATAAATTATAATTCACAATAATCAAGCAAGAAATTATTAAAGTATTATAAAGGTCATTTGTGTGTAGTACTATTTCCAGCTTTCTGCATGTGTAATGTCCATTTCACGTAAGCGTTTCCGTCCGTTGGATCCTGCAGAGGAACGGGAGATCAAATCTGACCAGCGATTAGGCCTTGAGGTTCTTGAAGATGAACAATCTTATTACTTTAGTTGGCCTGATGCTTCATTAACAGCACTTCTTGCGAATGCTGATGCCTATGTACAGAAGCATGTTTACCGCAAAAATGTGATTAATGGATATGGAAATACTTCGAAGAGTCATTGCGTCAGTGGAGCCTCTTTGTCAAGTTCGGACCGAATTGGGCCAACCTCCTTAAATATTTCAAGCCGACAGGTCTCAACAAGCCCCTCGTCTACAGTCCTTTTGGCCTCGGTGCCTACGGTTTATGACCTGCGAAATATTTGCGTCCTGAGCAGTACAACCGATGATAAGTGCGACCTTGACTTGGGAGAGTTTCTGCAGGACATGATGCCGATTCTGAAACGAGTTATGGGCACCGAAAAGTGTGGCAATACGGCCGCGATCATGATGACCACAGAAAATTCTAATAAGTTCTTGAATTCAACTTGCCCATCCCAGCCCAAAAAAACAAAAGAGGATTACCGCGCAACGCATTACTCCCCACCAAAAAGTGTGACCTACGAGGATTCGATATTTACCCTCCATGCGCAGCAGCTTAGTGATGCTAAAGCTGCTGGTTTAATTTCCATTCCCGCGAGCGATATGGTAAGTTCAAAGGAGAAGCAAAAATATACCCATCCAGAACATGTCGTCGTTATCTTAGCCAATGGATCAAACTCCGAGATGGAAGTACGGAAGACCAGGCAGGAAACTGGCCTTTTCAGTAGGTCTTCGGATTCGGAACCTTGTTTGCAGCGATGGCGTGTGGAAAATGAGATTGTTGGGTTGGAGTGGCGGGCCTTTGGTCAATCCAAGAGAACCGCTGCGGCACTACGGCGATTATTATCGCTAGAAGCCGCAGTACCTTTTGAACCTTTAACGAATAGCATCAATGAAGTTCCAGCAGAAGTGTCTGTTGAGAATAATAAATTGCAAAAGCGCGGTAGCTCTTCTGAGTACGAACTTGATGTTTGGCGTGAAAAAGTTTATTGCCTATGGCTACATTGGAGGCTGTGCTCAGGACCAAATGGCTCTGTTCTTACCAGTAGCTCGCAATTTCAAGACCATCAGTCGACCCTTTCTAAGTCTGCATTATTAAATACTAATAGCTCTTCCCAAGAGACAAATTCTATCACGACGTGTTTTCATGCACGCTATCCGTGGGGTCCTTCGCTACTTATCAGTGCCTATTTATACGATACCCAAAGCGATTACTTTGTTGATCCCAATCAAAGTGGGGTTTCAACCACTTTCTCACTCCCTTCCATTCTTTCTTCGTCATCGGCATCAGGTTCTACTCCTTTTGCTATTCCGCGACGTCGTGGCGTCTACAATTTCTTGCGCTGGCGCATTGAACTTTATATGGCGCGTTTAATTCAAGGCAGAAGTTCCATTACCGCTTCGGCAGCTTCTCTGCATTCCGCGCAATCGGAGAGCGCCACCCATTTACCCGCCGAGCATGATTTTTCTCAAGGTCGTAGTCAATCGCATGGTGGGAATTCAACCGAAACAGATGTAATGTCGGAATTCGACAGGAACAATCGTGGTGTGAAACACTCCTCCCACTCCATTCAACTCCAAAATACGCTCCTGGGGGGCAATGAAATTGATTTTCTTGTAAACAGAGAGGTCTTGGCCAACCCATTGGTAGAGGTGCAGCAGGACACTCATCAAAATCGTCTTGATGTGTTGGAATGTCGAGATTTAATACAGGACGTTCAAATATGGCGTGGTTGGTTATCTAAAGCGTGAAAAAGAAAAGATTGAAAATTAGTTTATTTTCAACTATTTCTTTATTGTTTTGTCCTAAGAAAGAAAAACCACCTTGACTATTATTATTATTATTAAATTATTATGTTAAACCAATATCACATCCAGGTGTGACACCAGAACAGACTGTTCGATCGTTTTTAATGTTCTCTGTTAATTAACCTTGGTTATTATTATTATTTTCCTATAGTTTGAATTTCCAATTTCCCCTATCCCCATTTTACATCCAATTCTTTGCTTAAATCAGTGATATTTTTATTCGTATTACTTTATTTTCCTCCACCAAACGCGTTCGAAACATGTCCACCGCAGCAGGCAAGAAGTGGGTGAGCAAGCGTGTGATGGAGCAGCAGCACCGGGACTCCGCAGACCCGAATTTGGCCCCCAACGCCCCCAGCCCCACCTCCGGCGTCCCCGCCATCGGGTCTAAAATCCTAGAAGACAGCACCATCTCGGCGATCAGAATTAAAGAAACCCAGCAGAGCGGCAGCCCCGACCCCGAGGTGGAGGTCCCGCCCTCGACGGTCTTTGAGCGCCAAGAGGCTACGGATGCGCTGAGCAACTTCTCCCACAACGCCGCGTCCTCGGGGGCGGAGATCCAGGCTTATAAACTTCGACGGGACCCCACTTTTAAACCTTTGCAGAATAGTGAAGAATTCCACGCCAGGTTGATGAAAGATCTAGAGTTGGCTTCTACCAAGTGATATCATTAAAAATATATATCAATATATATAATATTTGTGTGCTTTAGAATTATTAGGAAAGTAAGGTAATTTTGAGTCGAGTTTCAATAACATGAAATTTGAGTTTAATTTTTTTTAGAACGGAATATGCTCAAATTTATCGAATGCCCTCATGTTCTTAAATTTGAAAGCAATATCCAATGAACCCGATGCCAAATAAATAATCCCACAACTTATTATTTTATCCCTTTTCATTGTTTTTCTATTTACCAAAACTATATATATATATATATATATACCTAAGAATCCTAACGAATCAAAAGGCTAGATATTTTATATGTACAAGGCAGCTGTTGGCGTAGCAACTGCGGTCATTATGGGCATCGGCCTTTGCGGTTATTACCACTCGAGCAATGAACAACTTATCCAGGAGCAATTAGAACGGCTGATTAACGAATCCAATGAGGCAGTCATCTCACATTCTGGCAATGCGATAACAGGCCAATCAACAAACACGGCTAGAAAGTACTATAAATAAGGCACCTGTGCGAGGCTCACATTATAGTTCTGGGAACCACATTCCTTAAAGATAAAACTCTACTTTTTTTCTCTTCATCTGATTGCGGATTCTCTTTTCAGGTTTTGAGTTAGCGTATGTCTGAAAAGGGGCTTCAGCTCAAAGTCATTTGATGTATTCTTTAGGTGTTTTTTTTTCCTTTTCCCCCTTGAACTTGTGATAATAGGAAATCGTGATGATGGATGGCTCAAAGCAGCTTTGTATTGATTTTATTTAAATCAGCTTGGGGCATGGAG